TTCTTTAAAGGGGAAACAGTTGATTGAAACCAGTCCAAATCAGTCGAAAATCATCCGAAATCAATTGATTTTCAATGATTTTCATAACTAAGTCAAAATCCATCCAAGTTACTTTAGAGTGTCAAGATATACTCTATTTCACTGACTCATTCTGATTCTATACTTAAAATCATTAAAAAATATTCTCTTAATTTCGAAGATTTCTACGAAACTCTTCTAGAAACCAAAGTATTTTTTGTTGGTTTTTACATTTATTGAGCTTTACTATACTATTGAGCAGATAAAATAGAGTATATCTTGACACTTTGCACACCAGTGATGGTAGCAAAAGAGAAAGATGTACTGTTTGTAACCATCAAAAATAGTCCGCATTTTGGATGTTAACAGACCATTTTAATCGACAACTGCATTCTCGTTATATGTTAAAAAAAATTGATCATTCACATCTAAAAAAACAAGTAACTATTTTGAACTTTCTAGTATAACGCTTGAAACACTTATCAATTTCAAATAATCACGAACAATGATGCTATGTGATATAACAAAAAAGTAATTTTAACATAACTTTGTATTAGAATGATCAATATTTTACAAAAATAATCCCGTTAAACATACGTGTATAATTATGAAATTCGTCATCTAGAGAAACTTGTTATTCGACAGCTAAAGCACAGTAGATCTCTTAACATTTTTCAGCAGACTGCACAATGTAAAACCTTCACATCTTTGTTATCGTATTTACGTATTTTCTTTTTCCATCTACACTGTAAACTTGAAAATAAGTGATAGAAAATAAAAAGTTATTTTCAATTTGTCCATACGAGTTGATCAGTGATTTTCTACGAAATTGAAAAATCTAGAAAGGATTTGAATGAATTAAAGAAATTAAAAATCTATAAGGATCTTTTAAAATTGTTCAGCAATCTTTTATTCTAATTTAATTTTTTTCTTTATGTTGAGTTCAAAAACGATCTACTGAGTACAGTAAAACGACACTTTAATACAGGTGAATGAATAAGAACTAATTAGTTCTGTCTCTCTTATTCTCTACTAGAACAAAGCATACACAGCAGGAGCATATCTTAAAGATATGATGAAAGGCTAACGAAATGTTTATAAGAAAGGAATATGTTCGTGAACATATCTCTTTGTTGCTTAATTTCATTCGGCTTTTGACCTAAGAGAAAGATTATTCTGTACGTTTTTTAATGAGGACATATTACGGGATTAATCAGTTAAATTTTTGTTTTCAATGAAAGAACATGTCGTAATTTGCTTATATTTTCGAAATATGAACCGCAGAAACATCAAAATGGCGGACTGAATGACATGTCGTTAAATTTTTTTTATTGCATGTTTCTTTCGTTTAAAAGAAGAATATGTCAACTTTTTTCTAAACGAAAGATAACAACAGATAATATTGCATAATATCGTATAAACCATCACCCATGTAAATGTGAAATGTAGGACAACACTCCTCAGAGCATGCGAGTGAGACATTAATTAGAGAAATTTGGGTGTCTGATCACTCAGAGATTGACTGAAGCAGCCAAAACCATTGTTTGTCCATTACCGTACTCACCCTTGTCACATCTTCTCATTTGACTAAAAAATGTCAGCGAGTTCCTTTCAAATTCACAGAAAATAACGACGATTTTCCAGAAATTAATTTTATTTTAGAGAAAGTCAAAATTCTTGAAAAATCGACTCGATTTTTAACAAAGAAGAAAATAAACATTTTTAATATTCTTATAAAGTCGTTCACAATTCATAAAATCTCTAAAAACATTTCCGATTTTCAAACTCGATTTTCTACAAATTAGAAAATAAATCGGATTATAGGGTACCAACAAAACAACATCAAGGACATGTATTCAAAAATATGTAGCTTTTAAAGTATGACAAATAAACTGATCGATGCCAATTCTTTACAATAAATATTATAGCTGAAGGAAACTCTGAATACGTAACTGCTCGTCGTAGTGATGAATGATGAACATCTCTTTGAACATCTCTGACTGGTGCTGCAGGATGCAGACCATATCGCTTCCTTTTTCTCTTGACTTGACATCTTTTAAAAGACTCTTTTAAACAAACTATACACTTCAAAATATCCACACTGCAGAAGCTCTATGTCATATGGTAAGCGTTCTATAAGGGATAATCAAAAAGTTTAGGTATCTTAGCAAAAAGTCAAGTTTCTTTCTTACTGTCAGTGCAAAAAACCTCAAACTATAGCAAACAAGTATTTATGACTAAAGAACCGGACTTTTTTCTAAGCTACCTAAACTTTGGGATCACCCTTTATTGAGGATAGAACTAAAAATTTTGCATAGTTTGTTTAAAAGAGTTTCTTAAAAACTTTCAACTCTTAACCAAAAATTTCAAACTCGTAACCACCTTTCGGTGAACATTTGTGAGAGCTCCTCGCAGGCGTCACCATACCATCGCCAGATGATTCCATACTTAAGTTAACCACCTCTTAGGGTATCCGATTGAAGGAAACAGCTAGCGGCGAGACTCTTTGAGGTCGACGTTATTAGATTTTAATAAAATGATTGATTATAATTTTAATTTAAAACAATATATTACTCGTTTAAAGAAAAGTTTATACTAAATGAATTAAAATTAACTGAATAGTAAAAACTTAAAACTTAGAAACAGAACCTTTTTCCCCAGCAAACTTTGCGAATACAGACTTTAAATTGACTTTCTAAAGAGAATATTTCTCTTGAACAAAGTCAAATAATATCTATCTACACATTATTTTTGATGAACAACTAGCAAGCGACAACGATAAGCTTTCTATAACAAGATCATCATGACTTTTGGAGAAGAAACACAAAATGTGATGTCTAAATGAGTATATCAATAATATTCTATTATTTTCGCTCATAAAAATTTTGTCATCTTTTCAAACTGCCGCAGCCTTCAAACAGACAGAAATGAACTCTAGAGAAAATAAAACGGTCATCCACCTATTATATAGAATTATGACTTTTCTGCTGTAGAATAAAATCGACGCATAACTCCATCAACCACAACAATTTCACTTTATACTTTCTTATTGTATGCTCGTTGCCATTCTCTACATATCCTTCAGGTAATTTCTGGTCATTGATAGCGTTCAACTTTTCAACTGGAACTCGACACTAGAACTTGTGATAGGCATCGGTAGGATAGTGTTCATAATGAACTGGGATAGATCGTATATTAAGGGAAAGACATTGCGGTGAAAAGTTGAAAACCGCGTTTCACCTGTTCTCAAACAGTGATTAGTTACACTCAGTGAATTACGTCGATTTGCTTCATTGTTGCACATTCAGGCCTCTCTCGCTCAGACATACATTAGACGTCTATTAGAACAAAATTATTTAATTATAACAAGTTAAGTCGTATCAATAATCATACACAATTCTTACTGTTACAGAAAAACTCTCACCTAATTGAGTAATCAGTCAATCAATCAATCAGACTCGCAAATGCAGAAGAATGATGCTCTGTTATTAGATCCAACACGTCACATAAGAGAGGAATCTATTAGCAATTAACGAAACCTTTTTCTCATGCTTTTCTCGGATACTTCATACATCACCAATTTTCTGCTTAGACGCGTTTACATACTGAACAGTAGAAAACCCTGTGATGCATTGTGAGATGAGAAAGAGAATTTAATCATGTTACAAAATCGTCAATTGACGGTGAAAAAAACATTCTAAGACGTTAATCAGTTAGGTGATGTTTTGAACAACTTGTCAATAGAATGTAACTATTAGATGATTGGCTCATCACACGAAATATCCAACAGATTATTTAACGATACTTGAAGGTATTATTGCCTGTGGGTGGTTAAACGAAGTAGAAAACAGAAAAAATTTCGTTTGTGTAACATTGCGGCGACGATATTGTTCATTTAAATTAGATTCAATTAACAGGCGTTTAGTGTTCATTTAAGTACGGTATCTCTCTCTTTTTCCTTCGTATATGAAAACAATTTGGGTCTGTCATTTGTGAACTCGAATCATGTTTATTAACAGTAGAAATGCAGGTACGTTTAAACTTGAAAATTCTTGTATTCATTGCGAAAATCTCCATTTTCGTCACCGAAAAGCAATCATATTTATTTCAAAAGCAAAAAGCCGCTGTCTCGCCTTAGCACAGAGAGAGAGGCCGTAGATAAGAGTGCGGCAGAAATGAGCGATGAGTAAGATGAATAATGGTAGATTTACGTTAGATTATGCAAATCTAGAATCATGGTCGTCTTTCTAAAGCTTCCAAGTGCATTTTCAATAACTTCAGAACACGGACAGTTTGTTCGAACATCCATATTACTGATCACTAGTAGCGTCTCGAAACAACGAAACTACAGATCGTGGCATCGATGGCAATAACTCGAGTGCCACAGTTACATAACAGCAGCTTCTCTTTTGGACACATCCTTGCTTCATTCAATAGAAATTGGGTATGTCTCGACCCCGAATTAGAATGATTCCATGATGCCACTCTTGTGCTCTTATGTGGAATGAATAGAGATGATATATCACACATGTTTCTGACATGTCTAAAGTTCGAAAGATGCGCGCATGACTGAACACAAAAGAATAACTAAGAAGGTACATATTGTACACATTTTGAAGTGCTGAAGGATAACAATGGTGTCAAATATATTGTGTTCAGTTCGAACTCGTTTAACGTGGATTCATTTAGATGAAGATAGCATCTCCTTTAATTGTTCAGACATTAACCTTTTATGTGTGATTGATTATTTTTTTCTGCATGTTCATCAAGTCATTTCGATATAGAAAGAGAGATGAATAAAAGGTTGTGCGTATTGATTTTGATCATTTGAAATAGAGTACTGAGCTTACAGACCGTTAGTCGCAAGAAAGGAGGTAAGAGAACGTCTTTACTACTAAATGCGACAACTATTCATAATACTTAGAGATAGAATGTTCTTTCAATACAGACAAACATTTCTTTTATTCAATTTAGCACATCCTATGCACACAATGATGCTATCGCACGATCGTGATTCTGGCATATTCGACGACACTCCTCATTTCCGACAATCAATATCATCCGACGGCAGCAGTCACTTTTCCGATGACTTAGTTTCATTGCACAATGCATCATCGTACAAAAACTCCTTTCGTCCGATACTTAAACCAAATGACTTATTGCATGTGGGTGCGCGGTGCAGACAGTCGGTGATCGATACGGATGACCACTACTTGTCTCCAACGAGATCATGTTCGCAATGCGATAGTCCACGTTCAAATAACTCAACGCTAATTCAACATCCGTCTGATATAATATATGTGAACAAGAGGCAATTTAGTGCATCAACAAGAAATAAAACAGATCAATCTCTATCATCGTCTCCCACAGTTCTCGGTAAATGTCATTTATTGCGTTCATGTCTGTCGTCAAAAACTATATCACATGCACCTTCGCCAAGGAAGCGTTGTCCACCTCCGAAACCTCAAAATCAGTTCTTCATTCAACTAGCACGACATCGACCGCTTTTACTCGTTCTAAACGGTTATCACTGTAATTGTGGTTGTGGCTTTTCTGTTCAGAATGGTGATACGGTGATATGTTTAGATGCGACGATCGAGAACAAATGGATAACAGTTATATCGAGACATATGATTTGTTCCAAGATGCCTCAATCGTATGTTTGCGATGTTTACGCATTAAGACAGAATGTTAAAGCACGTCCACAACAATGTTCGATGATTGAAACAGAGTTTTGAAGAGCACGAATGTTTCTTGTCGTTATTTATTTTTAGCAATAAAATCTGATCATTCTAATAATGTCACATATTTGATGATACTGGTAAACAATGTAATGAAACTGAAACTGACATACTTCTATTAGTACTGCGTAATCGTGCAGAACACGAGCTCGTTTTAGCGAAAGAAAATATGCTTCTTGCAGAACAGGAAGAAAAGTGAGTGCCGTTAGTTCTCACAAACGCAACCTCACGCGCAAACGATGAATGTGTTCGACAGGAATGACAATATATCGTAGTTAAGTGAACAACGGTGTTCGAAATATTTTATTTTACTTGCTCTCTACTTTTACTCAAACGCCTTTGCTAACATGAGTCTATCTGTAGTGTACGTTAGAACTGGTTGAAAAGAGACAACGAGTGTATCATCAGTCAGAGTGTGATTTCTCTAAAGATCGAAACTCAATCAATCGCTAATGATGCGCACAATAGATAAAACACTTCTTCAGTGCACTCGTCTGTCATTTTCTGTTCTATCATCAGCAGAGAACAATACCATCCAACACGATCTTTTTCTTCGTAACTGGGCTTCAATGTTCTCATTCCACGTTCATATAGTTTCAATGTATATGGCTGTGATTTGTTAGACTCCTTTTGCCAGTACGAAAGTGTGTGTTCTACATAAAGTTCTCATGAGTGAGTGCATGTCAAGCAATATGAGGAACTTGAAAAATGGCTCGTTTGCTTTGGGATAATAAAGAAGTTGTTTATTCAAAGGTTTTTTCTCCTCTTCTTCTGTGTATACCTAATCCTTTCGTAACTCAATATAATTTCTCTCAAAAGTCCTTGTAATCATAATTGAAACTAATTTCGGGATCTCGCTGATGATCCTGTCTTATTTTAACGATTATGACCATGGAATGAAATTGAGTAGAGAAGAGAAAAGAAGAAAAGGGTGGAGATGGAAGAAAAACAGAAACTGTTCAATTTATCTGTAACTGACGCTCATTCTACTCTATCTCTCTCTCTCTCTTTCTGAGGCGGTTATTGTTAGATCCTGCGTTCAGTTCTTTTTCTCTAATATGGCGAGTTATGTAATTTTGTCATCATGATCATAAAAAAATTCAATAATTCAATGTTGATTCAATACTTGTATGTGTGTATGTGGAGAAAAAAATGGATTTGTTTCTAATCAGAAAGGTTGAAGCAATAGAAAGTAATTGAACACGGAGTGTGGACAGGAATTAATTGAACAAAAATAAGACTTTTTTCTATAAAGTTAATCTTCTTATAATCGATTTTTCGAAATACCATTAAACAGGAAACAAGCCTTACTGAGATGATTCTCATCGAACCGACACATCTTTGTCGACGTTTGACTTTCAGCATTCCATTACATCGTGCAGTTTGCTCATATAGGCTGCGTGTGATCTCTATGTCTCAAATGCGGAAGAAATGAAAATTTTATCATCAGAAATAAATTCTCGATGGAATAAAAGATGTTCATGAATATTAAACAGTTTGCTGAACTATAAACATAATATTGTTGTTACTCACAATATTTGTCAAGGTTAAAATTAATTTAGATTGAGAGAAAGAGTGACAATGAATAAATAGAGCGAAAGAGATCGAGACATCACAATTAACTTTTTTGTGACAACACAATCCTTATTTGATTGATCTCAAGGTCATCTACATGGAGACTACGCACGCCATACAGTGATCTCATTGTCTGAACTCATCGAGGTTGAGAGATGGAGAGAAAGTGCCTCGATTCGTGTGTAGCTATGCCATGGTCAGTCACCTCACTTGGAATAAGCAGGATTTGAGAATGAGAAATCGTTACCACTACGTACCTTGACATCAATTTTTCTCCAAGCGATTGTGTCTTCAAGTGACCACAAGAACCCTGAGTAAGAAAGTCCATTCGATCAATGAGAACTTCTCCTTTCACATTTATCATATAAAAAGTCGTCAGTGGAAACAAATAAAAACATGGTCAACAATGAAAACAGATATAATAACAGAAGAAAAGATGAGTATCGTTCAAACGCACTGTTTTATACACAGCAACAAATAGTTTAAAAAAAGAGTGATCATGCAGAAAAAATAAATAAAAACTCTATCCTAAATCATGCAACTTATATACTTGAAAGATAAGCGATGTGCAGTATGCTATCGCACTGCCGTTGTGTTGTGAAATATTTATTAATTGGAAAAGCCATACTGTCATATTTAACATCACACACATCGAGTTGTTTGTAGTTCACCGCTAACACGCAACATCTCCGTTCATCGATGTCGTAATGCAAATAATAATAGTAAAACAGTGTATTTAGGCATCGTCTGTGATGCGGTTGAAAGGCCAAGTGCTAGAACGAGTAAAATGTAAAAAAATTAAAATATTCAAAAGCTTTCTTTCATTTCTCGAGTGACTGATATGCGGTTAACCAAGCACGAGTTCATGCACCCACACACAGATTTCAAGCTAGTAATCCTTTCACATGGGCTTATGAAATCGTTGAATACTAATGTGAAAAATAACATCAATGTGTTGACCTTATTATGATAATCTTTATTCATTCCGTCAGTTTGCAGATAATATTTACATCACATAACTTGAATTACCTGTCTTTCTCGCTACTTCGAATAATAATCCGCTTTCATACAGATTATTAGAACATTATTACAAGGTTTATTCTTTCTTTGCATTTTTCAGCGAGTGACAGCACTGTGGACAACACATGAGGACGGAACCTGACTCGAATCAGATTAAATACTTCATCTACTAAATCTCCTTTTCTCTTTCATAATACAACTGCTAATAGGCAAAAGAAAAAGTTGTGCACTGCCCAACAACAAGCACTTTTCATCAGAATTATCCAACTAAGTGCATGTCATGTCAAGAAATGTATGATTATTCTTTCCTAACCTGATCACTCTGATTTATACACGTGCATCTATTCGTATCGCTTAACAACTATGGGAACTGTACGAGACATGATATCTATAAAAGCGTGTCTTACCAGATGTGAACACCAAATTAACTTGTTTTGTGATTTGCTTATATTTACATGTGTATGCACCACTGTCATTTGCGAGAAGATGTCGAATAATCAATGTTAATCTCGCTTCATCAGTGGTATGTTGAGGATATCCGATCAGCGTGTGAGACGATGTCGTGTGCCGGTGATAGTGATTGAGAGAATTATTTCGAATTTCTTGGTTATTATGATACCATAATAAGTGTTTCTTATTAACATTTGAATTTCTTATGGTACATGTGAAATTAATGGGATAATTTAGCCAGAAATCGTTTTGTTGTAATTCAATTATACCATCTTGTGGATAAATGGACATTGCGGCTGAAATATGAAGAGAAGAACGAAAGAATGAATGTCGAAGTGTGTGACACGCCCTTCTCTATCTTTCACGCACTTACCCACAACATGAACATCAAATATGACCGTTTTCGAATGTTTATGATTCGATTTACACATATAAACTCCTTCATCAGAATTTGTTAGACTGTTTATTGTTAATATTGATGTATGATGACCTCCCATCGCCGTATAACCAGTGAAATCAAGGGCGAAACGGAGTCCATTTTGGGTCAAACGGCGAGAATTCGCATACAACGGCAGCCATTTGGTCGGTGGTGAGTTCCGAGCAGAATGTTCTTGTCGTTGACGATAGACCCACGTAACCACGGCATTTGTCGGCAAATGAGGAATTTCGCAGCGTAACGATATATCAGATCCTAATTCAGCAGAAATATTACGAATATCATCAATTGACGCGCCTAAAGGAAAAATGGCATATGGTAGAAACCAAACAGATCAAGACTCTGTTCACAGCTACATGGATGGAGAATCGTAAGACACATTTAGGTGAGTCTGGCCACTTCACAGTCGAAAGTCACTTCTAATTCTCGCTTGAAACAGAAAAAAATGCCGATCGGAAAGAAATGTTTATTCCAGCAAACCAGAGAGTTTAGTTGAAATCGAACCGGAAGTCAACGACAGAAAGAAAAAAAATGTGTTTATGTTGAAGAGGAGACATTTAAAGCTTTCGAGTGCACATGAAAAGAAAGCATACTCTTGTTTTAAGATCTTTTGATGTGTTAAATATCTCAAATGTCGAAAGAATAATACTTGAAGAAGCGAAGAAACTGTTGAAGGTCGTCGACACTAACGACAAAGATCTACTAATAGATTTCAGCCTTTTCTTGTCACCTATCCACGTAGACAAAGGTCTCGGTGCTCTTTTTACTCGACACGATCAATCGATTAATACGCATGCTGTTCAAGTTAATGAATGTACCGTGTTCTTTTTGTTATATTCATGGGGCGGGCTCTATCCTATTTGATTATGAACGACCGTCAGAAGTCTTTCATGTTCATATTAACAACATACAATGTGTTGTTCCTAGTCATAATAGAAAAGAAAAAACTGACGATATGATCACAGAGAGTGAATATCTATTATTTTAACATTTTTTCGCTGTCCTTCGGCAAACAATGGGTTTACACTTTTGATGGCAAATATTTTTGTTTTCTCGCGTCTACATACAGAAACGAATCTGAATATTGATCGTGTGATGGTCAATGCGCAATTAATTAGCTCTCTCCGTGTGTGCACTGATCAATACATACTCTTAAAAATATGTATTCGATGAAAAAACATTTACTTTACCTGCCAGGATGATGGGAGATAATTAAACGCGTACAGACCACTTGAAGGATATACACGCATAAGAAAGAAGCCATTCTAAGTTGTTTACAAACAACGAAGAAATCTTGCGACAAATTTATCATAGAATAAGTGTTTATAGTTAATCTGATATATCTTTCTTCTACACGACATTCCATAGAGATATGCTCAATTTCATTCGATATGGCCATTGATATGAACGTTTGAAGGCTATATAATAGGCATATTTCACGATTGTGGGAGAAAAAAGTAACATCTGCGACAAGAGATAACTTTGAAACAATCGATATGGATACAAACATGCGCACTCTGTTTGTTTTACGTATCATATTTAAATTCACTGTCTATGGTATTTTGATAAGTCAATCGTTATCGCAACTGACCGATTCAATGTAAAAAGAATGACTTTCTCATAATGCAATTTGGAACAAGCACGAGTTGCACATGTTCCGCTCTTCAAACAAATGTCTTCTCAAGCGTCTCGCAGACGTATGATTAGAAGAACAATGGAACATTTAAATTATACTGCCGAGCTAGTCTTCCGTGGATGTCTGAACTGTGAGAACTCACCTTCGTAGAGATATTCTTCACAATGCACACTCTACTTACTGTTTAAATAAATAATTGAAAGCCATATGCCACTAACGAGACCGATAATCATAATTGATTTGAAGTATCATGAATTTTTAATTTTTTGGGAAATGTGTTGTCCTGTGTTTGTTCATTTTCTTTTCGTTTTGTCAAGTGGAAGTCTTATATACGTGTGTCGCATATCGTTAGTTTTTTCGAAACAGACGGCACGGGTTATTGTCAAATTATAAATAATTTAACAAATTTACTGTGGCAACTGTCCATCTTAGAGCAAGAGAGGGAGAAAAAGAAAGTGGTTAAGAAAAAGAAATAACAGAACAAAAAATTTTCTTCTTCTACCATGTCTCTCTCTCTCTCTCTCTCTCTTTCTCTCGTTTCTTACACACATAGATAGAGATTCTTTTCACAGTTTATTCCCGAAAAATAACAATGTGTCGTTTCAATCTTTGTACACATACACACACCTAATTTGTGAGCTCGGGAAGTATTTGAAAATGAAACGGATGAAGAAAAAAACTTCCTCATCAAAATATTGGTCATCACGTTGAAATATATATGTTTGTGCACACATACACACAACCGGATGAGAGAGGGAGGAGAAGCGATCATTAAACAAAAGAAAGAAGGAACCACGAAATTATGATGAAGTTTGATGATGACTGGACAAGAATGGCATAGCATGCATAAACATTTTCAAAAATTTGCCTAATGATGATGACAGCATTTCTTCTACAAACAACGAGAAACAGCCATTTCTATTAATCTTGGCTAGAATGAGAAACATTAAATAAATTCCTGACCTAATAGTCTCATATGACGATAACAGTTGCTTACACTTTTGAACATCCAGACATCCGTTTTCCAGCTGAAAGCTTTCTTCTACTCTATCTGGATAATTTCGAACATTTTTACCGCTTATCATTCGATCTTTTCACTTCATGGGTATAGTATAGAGGCAGAAACAGTACTCATTCCCTCCTCTCTTCTCGATTATTAATCATATGTCAATCGTTCTCGAGTTTATTGCCGATGTGTGGAATACTTTTGCAGAATAGCAGGTTTGTCTTTCATTGCCAACCTTGTCCGTATTTGAATGTCAACTAATCATACATGTTCTTCTTCTACTCAATTAACGAATATCATCTATCTGGACAATAATCTATTTCTCCATTTTAACTCTAGTTCCATACAAAAGTGTAAACAACATCGAAGAACAACTGACTCTGTATTTGTTGACTGAAATATATTGTTTAGATTAAGATTCATGTTGATAAGAACTGTATGGTCAATTGAAAATAGAGAAGAAATTGTTCAAGTGACGACGACCCACGTGTCAATGTCAAAGAACACTGTTCTTATTCAGCTTAAACTGACTGACACAGACACACACACGCATACACTAATGATTCGTTTCTTAACACTTTCAAGTACACGATATTGAACAGGAATAGACAATTATTTATTTAATAGTCATAGAGTAGAGAGAGATTTAATCGCACACAAACTGGCATAATGGTTAGCTGATATCTAGAGCTGATATTTATTACATAGTCGCCGTGAAAACTGTTTGGAGGGCATTTTATGTATGCGACGTAACTTGTTACAACTTGTTCTGATCTGGTAAAACTAATTTCAATTGCAGCTGTAGAGCATAAGGAATATTAATATACGTTCAATTGTGTTTTTTCTATACATAGACACCTGGTTTAATCTATTACAAGCATTTAACATATGTTCTTATTAACAAGAATTGTTTCTCTTTGTTGTTGTTGATCTCTATAATTATTTGAACAGAGCTCTCTGACACAAAATATTAGAAAAATAATTTCCTTTTTTCTTCTTCTTCTTCTTCTTCTCTACTATTTCAATGAACCTCGTTGAGATATACCGTGAGACGCGCGCTCGCGCTCGATATTCATAAGTATCATCAAAAAACAAGAAATGAACGCTTCATTAATCATTCAATTTTGATTCGAGTCATCAACGAACAATATAATCTATAAAAAGTAAATCGGCGCAAGGCAACGATAGTCGAAGAACTAGGCATATCATGTTCAATGATGGAGATATAATATATGACAGACGCCGTGTCTTTCGTTTTTCTACCTTTGATTTGGTGGCGTTTTTGACAGCATAAATCGACTTTTATTGGTAACCATCATTCTGATCAAGATGATAAATTGACGATAGCGACCCTTCGCACAGCTATGTGTATCGAATTTCTCTCTTTTCGAAAATTGATGATTTAAGCTTCTTGTGTCAAATATTTTAATTACACTCTCTCTCTTTCTCTCTGTCTCTGTAATTAATCAATGATATCAAATGTTTTGACAAATTAAGAAACAACAGATTTAACGGCATATTCACGTTATTGTTCATCTAATGTATTCTCTAATTATGCCTTTCTTCGTTTTTTTTTGTTTAGAACAAGTCTTATGGGCATCTATTAGTCGAGATAGATACAGACACACACATTGTATAACTGCGAAACAGCTGTTTCGTTTATGTCATACACACACACAAGTACATACTTTTGGACAACGACAAAAGCAAAATGAACAAAAAAACGCAAATTATTTTAATCCTTTTAAAGTATGTCTCAACACCTGCTGATACAGCGACCAAAACGAAATGACTTTGTTTACATATCCTGCGAGCGCTTTTTCGAATTTTATGGCAAAGAATGATTGATACTGGCATGTATAGATGAAAATAAATCGTTCTCAGTAGCTGTTCCAGTTCAAGCAGAATGTGTGAACTCTTGAAAGGAAGTACCAAAGTTTTGGACAGTGGATAAGTAATGCATAACACAGAAAGCGTCTTGTAGATAAACGTCGTATTCGTTCATTGAAACGACTGAACGATGGATAACTGATTATCACCGCCAACGTCTCGGGCGAGCACTTTATGCATGATATGCTGAAAGTGGTACTTGTACACCTGATATAGTTGACAATCGTTGGAAAAACGGATAAAAGAACGAATGTATAGCGTCAGAGAAGTCAAATTAATAAGTAATTTGTCCAACTTTCACATATGTTGGTATAGGTGATGGTTTTGATAGTATTGTATCGAGATTCTTTCAGGATTTAGTTTACTTTTCAGAGAAAATCCTGGTAGAATGCTACAGAATCTCAATGAAACAGTGGATACTCGAAGTGGTAGGATTTTAACGACTGCAGGTTTAAAATTAACTCACGTACCACACGGTTTTTCGATAGCATCAAACAGCCAAAGCGGATATTTGTATCAAATGTCATATCACCGAAAGTAGTCCTCGTAAAGTGAAACGTCAGTACAAGCAAAAGGCTATAATCTTTCATAAGAATGAAAACAACAGATCACGATTGTAGTCCACGAAGTTCTGTTCAAAATGAGACATATCCCACCTTTACATGACCTTTCTTTGCAAAGTTATAGATTTTGCACGAAAATTTCTAAATTAATTTCTTATTTGTTGAGCTGCCAATGAACATTTAGGCCTTTTTTTTATAAATTCTATGCTTCCTTTTAAAGGATCTCTAGAGAATCTGTCGATTTCCGGGTGCAAATAGCTATTTCAAGATACAGGAGCAGAAGAAT